TAAAGATGACCTGCAAAGTACATTTTAAAAATTGGGATTGTGCCCTTTTTCTGCAGTCTTAAAATGTATTAAAGAAGTCCTGAAAGGCTATGAGGTAGATTTTTTCACTTTCCCCTTGAAACATCAGAAAAGTCAAGTCTGATCTTTCCTAATTTTGCTGGAAGATTCATTATGGGTCTCAGAGAGATATATATATCTATATATAGATATATATTATTAATTCTCGCTTCCTAATTAAAGAGATAGTGGTGTTGAATCTGAAACAAACTTCCTTTTCCAAATTGTTAATTAGTCTGAAGATCACTGGTAAGATAAATAGGTGTTAACAAAAGCTAGAATTTATGATCAGTCTGACTAAAATCCTTTTCCTATCTTAGTTTTTCAGCTTTCATTATCTTGACTCTTTTGGCTAGTTTTCCAGTTATTTACAGTTAGTGTCTTCCAATCTAAGCAGGATCTGATTTTTCAAATGTGTAAATTAAGCAGGAGAAAAAATTGAAAAACTAATGTAACATTCTTCTGTCATCATGAAACAATAAGAGTGCAACCCATTTTTAAATGTTACTTTATTTCTGATAACTATTTATCTTCCTAATTATGTACAAGATAATATGTTCCAAAATTTAGCACCAGAACTTCTGATTTATCTTGGCATTGAAAGTGGAACACATTCTGATTTTCTTTTTTTAACTATTTGTAATTACACAAAACATAAATGTTTCTCTAGCTGTGGTACTAAGAATCCAGCATGAACCATAATTGCTGTTAAAGGTATATGAATTACTGATTTTTCAGATTTTTGGCAGTTCGGGGGGGAGGAATAGTTTTGGGTCAACCTGAAAATTTTGCAACTTTTAAGAAATCTGAAAGGCTTTCAGTTTTGATTTTGGGAAGTTTTCACCATTTTTAATAAAAACAAAGGGAACTTGGAAACAAGGCTAGATTAACAAGGCTAGATTTCCAGCCTGAACGTCTACACTGCAGATGAACAGTCCCTTAGCTGGTGCCCTGAGAGTCCAAGTCAGCTGGCATGGGCCAGTTGCGGGTGTCTAATTGCAGTGTTAGACATATCCTTAGGCATCATTCACAAAATCGAGAAGGGATGGGGGGGGCAGTAAATATTAATTGGAGTGAGGACTGGAACCCGGGTGACCTCTATCCCAGGTGAATGCCCTAACCACATTTAGAGAGTCATCCTTTCTCTTTCTTGCCCAATGAATATTTAAAATTTTATACAAAGTAGGACAACTCCAACAGGAGAGATTGAGACCTTGTTCTTAGAGCACATACCTGCAGGGTCGAGGCAATTTAAATCACTGATTTTAATCATGATTTAAATGGTCAAGATGGAAATCTTGATTTAAATTTATTTTAATCTTGTTTTGCATTTATACTTTTTATTTATTTTCCTAAAGAAATATTGATTTTTTTCATTAGTTGATAACCATTACAATATGTTCATTTGCAACTAAATATAGCCTGTATACTAAATTTGATGCTGCTTTTTGCTAACTGGGAGACTGCACTGTCTATATACTCCTTTATGCAGTTATATAGCTTAACTTACATTTATTCAGATACTTAATTTTTTATTATGTTAGAAGATCGTGAACAATGAATGCATTTCTTATTTACTAGACCAGATTAATATTTTACTTCTAATTTTGTTTCAAGGTCTAAAGAAATCCAAATTCCATTAAAATGCACAAAAACAGCATTTTAGACTTTTATTAAATAAAACTACTTTACATGCTAAGACTTTTTTTTATCAAAACATGTTTGCATTTAAAAGTAACTGATTTATTAAATCAGGAAAATATTATTTGTAATTATACTGATTGAACTGATTGTTTCTGGTCACTATGTCCTTCAAGATTTTAGAACTAGCAGATCTCACCCTCTCACACCTACTTTTTATTCGTAGATTGGAAGAAGGTAAGAGTTCCTGTTTTTTCAAGTCCCAACTGGTTTCTTAACTTTGAATGTACTAGTCACTGAACTGAACTAGTAGTTGAATAAATTGAAAAGAAGATACTCTCTCTGCAGCTGTAGAAGAGGCTGTTGCTGTCAAAAGTTGGTTTAACATTTCAACAAACTCTGATTTCAGGTGCTTAACTGGTGACTTTCACCCATTCAGAGACTTCCCCTTCTTTCAAACTTGACAGCAAACATGTTTTAATATTTATTTTGTTTTTAATTTAAATTATTTTAATATGTGTAGGCCTTAACATAGATTTAATGTTAAATAGGGTTAAATTAAAAAAAAAAAAAAGATTTAAATAAAAAAAATCCAGTGTTCTGTTTGTAATATCATCAGTTTTTATCCATCCTGCTCACCTGGGGTGCAGTGGGTTCAAGTTCCTGCTTTAGAGTGGGGATTCAAATCTTAGTCTCTCACATCCCCCAGGACAGGTGAGTGCTGCCTGGACTATGCGATCTAAGGGGGCACCACCACCATCTCTTCCTTCTTCAGGGCTTTGTGAATGGGGCCTAAGTTTCCTTGTGAATCTAGTTCAAAAATTTGAAAGTTTCATTTTGAAAATGTTGAAATGGTTCATTTTGACATGAAAAAAAATTCTTTGAAACAATTTGCCAAAATTGACACAAATTCACAAAATATTTTGATCCTCCCAAATATGCATTTTTTTGAGAAAGAAATTTAAACTGATTACTAGCATAAAATATTTTCATTTTGGAGATGCATTGTTTTCTGGTAGTTAGAGCTCTGCACTGGGACTAGAAGACCTGGGTTCTATCCTCAGCTTTGCATTGTCCTCTGGATAACTGTGGACTCCTGACTTCACCTCTGTGCCTCAGTTTCCCCATCTGCAGATGGGACAGTAATACCTCCTTTGTAAAGCATGTTGGGGTCTACTGATTAAAAGCACTATATAATATATAATATATTATATAACTACTATATAAATTTATTTATTTATTATTGGGATCTAAGACCACAGTTCTTCAAACTGCTCCATGCATTTTATTTACAGCAAGATAAAGAGACTTCTTCAAATGTATGGAGCATTTTTAGGACTGGGGCTGGAAAGATTTATTTTGTCCTTAAGAGATTATCTAAGACATGAGAATAATATCGTCTTAGTTTTTCATACATAATTGAGCATGATTTGTGGGCGGGGGGGGACCCCAAAACCCCAGACTAGGCATGCAAAAATCCAGAATTGTTGTACTGAATTAAATAATTCATTTTTGTCTTATCAGTACTCACCATCTAACTAGATGAAAAATAAAAAACATCTTTAACTTCAGCATTATGATAAAAACCCAAATTTTTTGGTTCGTGCTAAGACATAATTTTGATGTATAGAATCAATTTCTTATAGCCAAAAGCTATAAAATGTGCACCAACGAGCTTCATGACATTACTTAAATTGTTGTTGTGGGTAAACTGCTGGTGTCCCCCTGTTGTTGCCATGGCTTTCTGACTTCCCATCCAGCGCATCACATGTAGGTAAGTTGGCAGACCCCAGAGGTGTGGCAACAACTCACACTTTGATTTTCAAAAATCAACTCTGCTCCCTTTAGTCATACTGTTCGTAACCGTCTGTACGTCAGGAAGTAAGAACTCATGAATGGTCTCATAGGGTGACCCATGAGTGGTCACAATTGTTTAAATAGCCCTTTATGTTTTAAAGAGTGCTGTTTTCAAAAACATAAAAATCCTGACATGAGTACAAAGACAGTGACTGCTGTTGCATTCAGGAGTCGAGGATTGCAGTGACTACTGGGTTTCTTTAGTTGCACTATCATTGGCCATGGAAGGCCACATCCTGCCAGCAAGCACTGATTTAGAATTTCTTTCCTTCCACTGATTTTATCTGATTTGAATTTGATCTTTATGGTATTGGTATTTATTCAAATGAAATGGTTGGTATTTAGGTTAGAACCCTTTGTGCTACAGTATGTATTGATAGGTGAGCATAATGGCTTCATGATTTGAATTCACAATATATATTTACAAGGTGGTGTTATATCAAAGGTCTATGTTACTGTTGTCTAAGAGTTGTATAATCCATTGTCTGTTGATGTGTATAATAGCCCAAAAGTAGAGGATTCAATCATTACTGTAATAGATTGTCAAAGGAATTCTGGAGGCGTAAATTCACATCTTCCATAGAACGCTGTGAGTCTCCTAATGTTTGGTACAGCGTGGGAGACCACCCTTTTCCCCCAGACCTTAACCCTCACGTAAGGGGAGGATGGTGGAATCCCAAAGACTGTCTGGGACCAGTACTGGGTGGGGGCAGATAGGAGTTCTTAAACAGGTGGAAATGATTAAGGATGTAGAGATGACCTGCATTGAATAAGTTATCGCTGAATATTTCCCATATGAGTTACGTTAATAAAGTTGTGGCCTAATTAAACCACATCGCTTGCATCTTATGTCGTCTTGCATGTCTGGGACAAAGATCTGATAGACTTTTTTTTAATGACACAAACTGTCTAAATACTTACTTAAATCCATAAATATGTAGCGCAAAAGCTCCATATATTAATACTTTGTGATTATTTTTTGCTACTAAAAATACTTAAATCACCTATGTTCCGAGAAAATTATTGTAAAATTAGAGATTTAGTTAATGATCAAACTTTCTTAGCATGCCCTTTTGCAGAGGCATTTCAGAGACAAAGCATAGCGAGTTAAAGAATAGTTTTAACCCTGTTAAACTTCTCCTGTGATCTTGTCAGATTACTTGCATTATCAGAAGAGGTTATGGTTTGTTTACTTCTCTTTTCAGAGTAGCAGCCGTGTTAGTCTGTATCCGCAAAAAGAACAGGAGTACTTGTGGCACCTTAGAGACTAACAAATTTATTAGAGCATAAGCTTTCGTGGGCTACAACCCACTTCTTCGGATGCATATGCTCTAATAAATTTGTTAGTCTCTAAGGTGCCACAAGTACTCCTGTTCTTTTTACTTCTCTTGTTGACTATAGCAAACAAATAACATGGGTCTGCTAAGTGCCTCTTTGTTCCCTAGGTTTGTACCATCAGATGAAAAGAAAAAACAAGGCTGTCAGCGAGAAAATGAAACTTTAATACAGAGAAGGAAGGACCAGATGCAACCTGGGGGCACAACAGTCAGCGTTACTGTACCTTATCGAGTGGTAGACCAGCCTCTGAAACTTATGCCGCAAGATTGGTAAAGCAGAGCTGCTATTTTGAATTATTTTTTTACACGTTTAGTTCTCTTTTTCAGAACAAGAACACAGATCTTGAAATGAGCTAGTAGAATAACTCCAAGCTAATTGGTGCATAAAACATTAACAAATGTGTGTAGAAATGGCTGGATAGCAATTATATAGCAACTTCCATGTTTTTTGTTCGAAACCCTCCAGGAGTATGAAAGTAGCACTTGAATTGTTCAGGATCAGAGCTACTATATTACTTCATTCGCTCAAGCATGTTACATCTCTGAAAGAAAAATCCTTGTCTGTGGCCAATCTTTCTGAATTTTATTTGGAAGGAAAATGTTGGGGCCTTATATTTCTGACTGTAAATTAAAAAAAAAGAAGCTGGAAATAAATTGCATCAGCTTTAAGCTAATGTGCATAATGGTCAGAGACACTGACATACACTTCAAGATGGAGCTCTGTGAAGGGGGAGATCCAGTCACGGGGCATCTTTTTGCAAATGTGTCAGAGGTTTGTTTGTTTAACCTGCAAGCCCATTTGTGAGGGCCTGTAAAAAGCTGAAACTTTTACACTTTTACACTTCAGGAGGGTTTGTAAAAAGACAACCCTTTAGTATTGATTAATCAAATAACCAATATTCTTTCTTTATCCTCCCAGTTTAAGAATACTTAAGGCATGTACAAGACCTAGTGGTCTTTAACATTCAAAGCAGGATGTTAAAAGGAAATAAGATCTAATTCTCCAGATAATTAGGCATTCTCTGTGTTGGGAGCAGCAGGCAAACAGAAAACAGTAATAGCTGCTGAAGTACGTACCAAAAGGCAGCTTGCATCTTCAATAGATGGTAAACATTTTTGACAAAGGTAAAGCCGTCTTTGTGATTGATTTCCCAGAGTGGAATCAGTGATAGGGAAGTTTTATTGTTTCAACTTCATAACAGCTAATGTGAGAAATGTTTTTAAGTGTATAGCCGTGTGTTTTTATCTTTTCAGAGACCTGATTATTTTTCTTCATTGGGGTTTTGAAATCCTTACAATAATGTAAATTTAGGAATTAGATTGTGGGATTATTTATTTGTAATGTGGTAGTGCTTAGAGACCCCAGCCCTATTGCTGAACAAATGTATAGCAAAGAGACGATGCCTGTCTCAAAGAACTTGCTATTTGTGAATTTTTTCTTCTGCATTAACAGTGAATAGATTTTTCTTAGACTACAGGTGGTAGTTATGTATATTCATAAAAAGTACAGTATGAAAATGTGGGTTAAATTGTTGCAGCTGTCTATCCTGTTGCAATGAACTTTTTGAATTAAAAGTTTAAAGCATGTGCCGAATAAGCATTTTTAAATTGCTACATCCCATTTAGTTTACAGTACAATTCATAGGGGATTATCTTTTAAATTCCAAAGCATTTTAAAAAAATCCTAAAGAGTAATCTCAAGAAATGAACAGGATTTGCTTTCTGATAAATACAAAGTTTGAAATTGAGCTACATACAACAAAAAGCAGACATAAGTCCAGAAATATTACATACAAAAATAGTGTGTTAATGCTGAAGAGATTTACATGTGGAAAAAGCAGCTGTATTGGAAGCACAGCAGTCATTAATGTGCTATAATGGTGACATTATAAAGAGAAACTGCTAATGTACAATGCTGTCCTCACAGTAGTGTTGACAACAACTTGTGTCGTATGAATAATAGAGATTTTTTTTTCCTTTTAGGGATTTACAATGACTAAAAACTCAAGTCCTTTAATGTGTGTCTCTCCGCCTTTATTTATAGGGATCGTGTAGTCGCAGTGTTTGTGCAGGGTCCTGCTTGGCAGTTTAAAGGCTGGCCATGGCTATTGCCCGATGGATCGCCTGTTGATATTTTTGCAAAAAGTAAGCTTCTACTTACAGATAAATGCTCTTACATGTTTTTATCATCAGTGCATACCCACCAATAGTCCATGTTTAGCTGGGAGCTAGTGTCTTGGCACCTTTGGAAAGTATGATTCTTGCTCTCTGCAGCTCCCTCTCCTCTAGGAAATGAACTAGCACCCTGGCTTCTTCCACACACCTTCAGGAAAACAAGTTTTTCAGCGAGGTAGATTTCTTGAAGATGAGGGGGCTGTTGCTACAGAGCAGTTGGCTTCTAATCCACTTCTGGGAGACCCCTTAATGGCTCAAACAGCTCTGATTTCCCTTTATCCCCAGAAACACTGATAACATATGTTAACTAAGTCTGAGCTCCGAATCTTCCTTGAGAAGAAGGTCTGCTGTTACAGAACTGCTCCTCCTCTAGCCTTCACCCAGGCAGGGACCATCAGACAACTTCTCTCTTCATTTACTCCAAGACAGCCCAAAAACTATATTCCTCCACCCCAACCCAGCAACTCCCAGAAATCTTGCTGCTTCATGAAGTTCACAGTACTCACCAGTTGTTTTTGAAATAGCAAGTGCACAAGTTTGCATTTTCTCTGTTCTCACAAACACCCTAAAATGTAGAGTATTACAGGGTTGCAATCAGCTCCTTTCTCTCTTCAAATTCCAATACTTGTCATGATCAGTTTGTTACATCAGTTTGTATTTTGCTATGTGTATTTTATAAACATGGCATTTGTATAAAATAAGATGTCTTCCTAAAACTTTAAGCTCTGACATAGGTAAAGCTACTTCTCAGGTACAAGCTAGATGAAAGGCAGTTAGTGTGCTGATATTTGATGATGACATGCAGGCCCTGGATTTAGACTTCTGTGCAGCCAGGAATTTGCCTAATGTGCCTTGAGGCCAGTGCTGTTTGCTTACATGGGCAAGCACAAACTGATGCTTACTCTTCTGACTGCAACATGTGGAGCGACATCTAAGGAAACTCCAGGCCTTTACTGCTTCTGATCTGTACTCCCATTTCATCTGCTGCTGTTGCAAGTGGATTGAGTGATTCTGCAGTGGAAAACCTCGATTTAAATCTATTTTAATCAGCTTTTTCAAGTTGCATTCTCATTGGCTGATATAATTGTTAAAACATCTTGATTTACAACTAAAAACAGCCTTTACACTAGATTTGGTACATCATCTTGGTACTGAGGAGGGAACACTATAACTATATACTTTAATTTAAGCAATTGGATAGCCTAATATTTTCATATGCTTATTAACTGTATGTTCTTAGTATGTTAGAAAGTGGTGAATGATACATTGATTATTTATGGGATAATTAACTTTTTGCTCATGATTTGTGTCAAGTTGCGTTAGAATGGTAGCTGGAATTTAATTAAACACACAAAACAGCATACCGTATATACTTGTTCATAAGCCGAATGTTTTTGGTAAAAAAGTGACGCATCAAAGAGCGGGGGTCGGCTTATAAACAGATCTACACCAAAATTTGTTGATTTTAAACTCTATGGAATCATTGAATTGAATATCTAATACATTGTTTTGTTTACCTGGAGCGTTCACAGGCACGGAGCCCCTCAGCTCCCTGTGGCCGCAGTTTGCCGTTCCCAGCTAATAGGAGCTGCGGGAAGTGGCGCCACTTCCCGCGGCTCAACGGCAAACTGTGGCCACAGGGAGCTGAGGGGATCCCTGCTTGTGAACGCTCCAGGTAAACAAAATGTCCAGGCCCACTAGAGGCTTACCCTAGCAGGCCAGGAGCCAACGTTTGCCAACCCCTGAAATATAGGGTCAGCTTATGAAAGGGTCATAAGGTTTTTGCTATTTTTACCTAACCATCTTGGGGCGTCGGCTTATAAACGAACGGGCTAATGAACGAGTATATGTGGTACTTATTTTTTATTTAAATGTTTTAAGAGATTCTATGTTTAGGCCTTAAGATACTTTGTATTTTAAACAGGTTTATTTTTAAAAAGAAAAGCTTACTATAATTGAAACAACAATCAAAAAATCATTGATTTATATCCATCCTGTGGTGTTGCTTCAGGCTGAGAATCCTCTTCCACACACTCACTCTTGCCCTGTGTTTTCTGAGCTATAGTTAAAAATCCCTAGGTCCTGCTACTACTGCCCTAGTCGAGGCAAGAAGAGAGTAATGAGTTGGTGGAAGAGAAATGAGGGAGAGGATGCTAGTTGAGAAAAAGAAGCAAGACTGAGGGAGAGGAATGAGAGCCGAGAACATGGAGAAAGGAAGGCATGAAAGCAAGAAAAGGGACAAGTTAACAGTAGGCACTGAAAATGAAAGAGGAAAAGGGATAACACAGTAAGCTATGCTAGAAAAATGTCCCTGCCCCAAAGAGTTTAGTCTGAAGGCACAAACTAAGAAGGGGTTGTGAGAGTTACAACATATAGTATGTTGTCTGCCTAAGAGACATACATGTGTTCAAGTTGAAAGGGGAATGTGATTACTTTTCTCCCTGGCTCATAAAAGTACTTCTGAAAAGCAAACTTTTTAATCTTAGAAATGCACCAGATTGCCTCACATGGTAGATATTTCAAAAATATTTTCCTGAAAAAGAGTATCTCTAGATCTTCCTACAAGAGCTTTATTCCATCTTCCAAACAAACTATTTAGTATTTTCTGGGCTATTCAAAAGAGCGAGTGCTGGCTGGTACTACCTGGCTCCATTTATCATTTTGCCCCTATACAGTCTCTTTAATAGCCTAACTAAATATGATCAGCAGCGTCTGCACCAGTCCATTTTCGAACCTGTAATCTGCCAGCATTTATAGAAGCTAAAAGCTGTCAAAGGCAACCTGGCCCATTTCCAGAATGACGATTAACAGAGATTTAAAGCTGGTTACTGTAGATTTAAATTTTGGAAAATAAGAAGTTGATGGCCATAAAATCTAAGCAAATAGATCTAAATGCATCTAGTAAATCATGGATTAGACTCTACCCAGATCACATCAAACTAGTTTTACTGTCTCAGTCACTTTATGCTGAGACAGTAAAGTTTCATGAATGGAGATTAAAATATTACTCTCCTTATTCCTTGTTTTCTTTTCAATCTACAGCTTTTGGCCCTTCTTGTGAAACTGTTTTGACTCTATTTTTGGACTGACACTCATATAAAAATAACAATTTTCTTACCGGTATACTCTTTACATCCATAAATGGACATATCAAATGAAAAGTTGAATATTTTGCCATTTTAATCTACATAAATATTTTATTTGAATGCCATTTTAAAGGTCTTCCTGCTATAACATGTTAATGTGCTTCTGTTGAACCTGAAGGTCAGTTTTAGTGAGTTGACTTTTGTTCAGTAATCTTTAACCTTAACTCAGAGGTTCTGTTTAACATTCAGAGATTTTCTTTGTAAATGCATAGTCTTGGTATGCAGTTATCTATTCTTTATCTGCTTATTGTGAAAGGCTTGGCATCATTTGATATGAAAAAACTAGCTTTACTTATTCTTAGTCTTCATTCAAAAGGTTTGAAGTTGACTTGACAATCTAGTACATAAGGTGATTTATTTATTGAGGCAACTTCTTAATTGTCTAATATAAAGAAATGAGAACTTTTGTACAAAAAGGGCAACCTGAGGCCCTTATTTTGTGCATATGTTAGTGTTGTAAGTTTACATTTTTCATGCATGTAGGTACATTTTGCTACAGAATGATCCATGAATATAGGAGGGCAATGACAATGACTAGACCAGTTTGGTTAAAGATTTGGGTGGGAAGGAAAGGTGAAGGGCTGGTGTACTGGACAAGAAAACTGCAAGTGAAGATCTGGCTAGAGTTATATAAAAGAATTACATAGAAAAGTCTGGTCAGATGTTCCTTTTTCTTCTCCTATACTACAAAAATGAAAATGAACTCAAAAGGCTGCAACCTTAATAAAATAGAATGAAATAAGCTTCAATGCACATAATTAGTCTGTGGAACTACCTACTGCAGAATATTAAAGCAAGTATTGTAGCTTAGGCATTTGAGATTGAAGATTTGAACCGAGTAGCATGTACAGTTAAACCTTGTAATTTTATCCTGGATCTAAGTATCAGAGGGATAACCATGTTAGTCTGTATCCACAAAAACAACAAGGAGTCCGGTGGCACCTTAAAGACTAATAGATTTATTTGGGCATAAGCTTTCATGGGTAAAAAACTCACTTCTTCAGATGCATGCAGAAAAGGCAACAGGGTTTGTTACAGGGATTGGTTCCTAGGTTAGTGTTTCTGTGGTGTGGTGTGTAGCTGCTGGTGAGTATTTGCTTCAGGTTGGGGGACTGTCTGTAAGCGAGGATTGGCCTGCCTCCCAAGGCCTGTGATAGCAAATCATTGATGATGCACTGGAGAGGTTTTAACTGGGGGCTGTACGTGATGGCCAGTGGTGTTCTGTTATTTTCCTTGTTGGGCCTGTCCTGTAGTAGGTGACTTCTGAGTACCTGTCTCGCTCTGTCAATCTGTTTCCTCACTTCCCCAGGTGGGTATTGTAGTTTTAAGAATGTTTGATAGAGATCTTGTAGGTGTTTGTCTCTGTCTGAGGGATTAGAGCAAATGTGGTTGTATCTTAGGGCTTGGCTGTAGACAATGGATCGTGTGATGTGTCCTGGATGGAAGCTGGAGGCATGTAGGTAAGTATAGCGGTCAGTAGGTTTCCGGTATAGGGTGGTGTTTGTGACCATCACTTATTTGCACTGTAGTGTTCAGGAAGTGGATCTTTTGTGTGGACTGATCCAGGCCAAGGTTGATGGTGGGGTGGAAATTGTTGAAATCCAGGTGGAATTCTTCAAGGGCCTCCTTCCCATGGGTCCATATGATGATGATGATGTCATCAATGTAGCGTAAGTAGAGGGGACAAGAGCTGAGGAAACGTTGTTGTAAGTCAGCCATAAAAATGTTGGCATACTGTGGGGCCATGCGGGTATCCATAGCAGTGCCACTGACATGAAGGTATAAGTTGTCCCCAAATCTGAAATGGTTGTGGGTGAGGATAAAGTCACAAAATTCAGCCACCAGGTGTGCCGTGGCCTCATCAGGGATACTGTTTCTGACAGCATGTAGTCCAGCCTCGTGTGGAATATTAGTGTAAAGAGCTTCTACATCCATGGTGGCCAGGATGGTGTTTTCAGGAAGATCAACAATGCATTGGAAGTCGGTGGTGTCTCGAAGATGGCTAGGAGTGCTGGTAGCTAGGGTCTGAGGAGAGAGTCCAAATAGCCAGATAATCCTGTTGTAAGAGTACCAATGCCTGAGATGATGGGGCATCCAGGATTTCCAGGTTTATAGCTCTTGGGGAGCAGATAGAATATCCCTGGTCGGGGCTCTAGGGGTGTAGATTTGTTCCCATGCTGTAGCAAGGAGTTTCTTGAGCAGATGGTGTAGTTTCTTTTGGTACTCCTCAGTGGGATCGGAGGATAGTGGCCTTTAGAATGTGGCAACTACGCACCACACCACAGAAACACTAACAGAGAAACCAATCCCTGTAACACACCCAGTTGCCTTCTCTGTCCCCATATCTACTCTAGCGACACCATCATAGGACCCAACTACATCAGCCACACCATCAGGGGCTCATTCACCTGCACATCTACCAATGTGATATATGCCATCATGTGCCAGCAATGCCCCTCTGCCATGTACATTGGCCAAACCAGATAGTCTCTACGTAAAAGGATAAATGGACCCAAATCAGACATCAGGAATGGTAACATACAAAAAGCAGTAGGGGAACACTTCAATCTCCCTGGACATTCAATAACAGATTTAAAAGTAACTATTCTTGAACAAAAAAACTTCAAAAACAGACTTCAAAGAGAAACTGAAGAGCTACAATTCATTTGCAAACTTAACACCATCAATTTGGGCTTGAATAGGGGCTGGAGGGTGGCTGGCTCACTACAAAAGCAATTTTCCCTCTCTTGGTATTAACACCTCCTCATCAAGTATTGGGAGTGGACCACATCCATCCTGACTGAATTGGCCTTGTCAACACTGGTTCTCCACTTGTAAGGTAACTCCCTTCTCGTCATGTGCCAATAGATATTTATGCTTGTATCTGTAATTTTCACCCCATGCATCTGACGAAGTGGTTTTTTTACCTACAAAAGCTTATACCCAAATAAATCTGTTAGTCTTTAAGGAGTCAGCGTACTCCTCGTTATTCTGGACCTAGGTTATCCATTCTCATGTCTGAGAAATCTCCCCTCTCTGTCCCTGTATTACACAGTTACATGTATGGTGGAAGGCAGGGTCTGCTACTTTTTTTTTATAGAGTTCAACATTCTGTACTGTTGGCAACAGGATAATAGACTAAATGGACCACTGATCCAGTATAGCATAAGAAATTCATATGGTCTCAGCTCCTTCTGAATCACAACCTTTTTATTTTAGTAGTAATTTCAAATAAGAAATCAAATGCTATAAAATCCTCTTGAAATAACAACAAATGTGAACTGAAAGCACACTGATTCTAAACTGTTAGTTTTGATTTTTTCTATTTGTAGACTACAATTATACTGTATCTAAGTGACAGTGTTACTTAGTTGCTGCCATATCAAAGTAAGCAAAGAGTTTATGAAAACCATGTGTCTGTCTATTCACTCACCTAACCCCCAGTTAAATTCATTCCCTACTGGGTTGGAATGCAGCATTTGTTGAACACCAAAGCAAAGTTCCAGACCATTTAGGACAGGAAATGCATCAGAATACCTTATC